AATATAGTAGATCCAATATTCGTTTCCTCCAATGTTTTTTGTATCCAATTATTTAATAATTCTTGATCTTTTTCTTCATGTAGCTTATATTTCAAGTTTTTCATATATTCATTATTGGTCTTAGCTCGCTTGATCCGTTTACGTGATGTTTCTTCTAATTTTTTCAAAGCTTCATATTCAACTGCAAGTGCTAAAGTTGCTTCTGGAGTTAATTGCATTCCTGGTTCTTTGATTTCAATTCCATGACAAATTATTGGCGGTTGGGAGATTACTGATACTTTTTTTAGTAGTTTTTCTCCTTTCTTTTGCATAGTAGTAGTTAATTTAGCAATTTTATTTTGAGATTTAGTTGCAGTAATGTTAAAAAGATGTGGATAAATTGAGTTTACTTTTAATTGTAAATCATAAATTATATTAGGATCACGCAAACCAAGAACGTCAGGAATAGAGATTTCTCCTGATAGTTTTATGTATTTTTTCATGCTTACAAAAAAATCAGAATTTGCTCCCGAATATATAAGTTCAGACATTTCCACATTTTCATAAATTTCCCAACTATATATAAGGTGTTCTTCATTATTACTTTGAATTTCTAAACGTATATATTGACCACAAAGTTTTCCAATTACACAATAACCAGGGAGTAGAGGAACCCATGGAGGAGTTGGTATATTTTCTTTTTTAGTAATGGCACGGTAATATGGATTAGAGCAATACTCTTTACTTGTTTGTAGTTCAGCATGGATAGAAAGAACTTCTAGTGTTCTGGATGTATCACTAAACATATATCCACCGTTTGCTCTTCTGAATATTTTCAGTGCAGGATTATAAGTTTGCATATGTTGTACCCAGTTAGGAAGTCTAAAATGTTTTAATAATTGAATAACTATAGAAAAACATTAAAGAATTTCTCAATTTCTTAATAATAAATATTACTTTTCTTGCTTTTTACCCTTAGTTGACGTTGTCATTGTGACTAAGAAACTTTATTTCGCAAGAAAAGAGTTACAAGACACGGTTAATTAATATAGCCGGTATTTCTAATTTTGTATAGCCAGCTATTTTTAGTACAAGACGCGGTAATTTATTTAGCCTATATTTTTATCTGCACTTCGTGTTTAAGGAGATAAACAAATCCGGGTTTTTGGAACCAAAAACAAATGGACATTTATTATAATAAAAATTAATTATAACGAATACTCTACCCTTAAGTAAAATTGATATCATAATAAACTATTCGTTAAGTATTTATTATGATTAAATCATTAGAAAATCGAAGGTTAAGTATTGTAATAAAAAGAATTTTTAAGTAAAATTGATATCATAATAAATTATTCGTTAAGAATTATTAACTTGTTTGAAGTTTAACAAAGCTTAATTTCAAATACAACTGTTGATGATTTAAGCTATAAAAGTCTGTTAAATTCGATTTCCTCCTCTCCTCTTTTTCTCATGTTTCTTCTCAACTTTCTCTAAGTATCATTAGAAAATAAATTTTCTTAACATGTCTCAAAAGGGAAAACCAAACTACTATACTACCAGCAAATCGCCTGTTACTAGCAAGCCAGCTTTTACCAGTAAATCACTTGCCACTTCTACTAGCGATTCTCCTGTCACCAGCAAGTCGGCTTCTACCAGTAAATCACCTGCTATAGCAAGTCGGCTTCTACATGTACGCCAGTTTCTAGTAGTACTCCTGGAACAAAATCGTCAAAAATTGATACTTTAAAAAAACAATACGAAAATATCCGAGTTCTGGATTTTTACTTGGGACAAGAACAAAAAGTCATATCCCGGGAACAAGATTTTGATCTTTATGATAATACGACTAAAGCTCCGAATGGTTTCGGTTTGAACTGGGAACCGATCCAGAATCGGCAAAAAATTCGGTTCGGTTCTCGGTTCGGTTTTGGACTTGGAACCGTCCGGTTCGGTTCGGTTCTATCCAAAATTAAGAAAAAATGCGAAAAAAACGAATATACGACTATCCAGCTGTCTCTTATACACATCTAGATGTGTATAAGAGACAGAGCCATAGCTCGTTGGAATCCTCTCATCGAGACGCGTCGAATGGTGGTAAAATCAAGTCTCTAGCATCGATAGATCACGAGATAGCACATGGTGAGTATTTCTTAAAAAATTTGCATTAGAAAACGATCCATGTATGCTAGAGACATGAATTTACCACCATTCGACGCATCTCGACGAGACGAATCTAATGAGCTATAATTCGTCTTTTTACAATCACTGGATGGTCGTGTATTCGTTTTTTCGCATTTTTTTTAAATTTTCGAACGTCAAAAATTAAAATTCCGATACAAGCGATTAAACGCCATCTATTGATTACACAAAGACTAATTTTAGCTCATTGGATTCGTCTCACTGAGACGAGTCGAATGGTGGTAAAATGATGTCACTAGCATAGATAGATCGTTTTCTAATGCGAATTGTTTAAGAAACACTCACCATGGGCTATCTCACGATCTATCGATGCTAGAGACTTAATTTTACCACCATTCGACGCGTCTCGATGAGAGGATTCCAACGAGCTATGGCTCGTCCTTGTACGATCACTGGATGGTCGTGTATTCCTTTTTTCGCATTTTTCTTAATTTCGGATAGAACTGAACCGAACTGGACGGTTCCGGTTCGGTTCCATTTTGGTTTTCGGTTCTACCTGAACCGCAAAAAAGCCAAACCGAACCGACCCGTTCGGAGCTTTAAATACGACCTTAGCAGCCGGTATGATTTTTGATTGGTTGCTGTTTTATGGGAAGTTTGCTTTTCTTGCTTTTTCTGAATTTGATGTTAATTCTTATTAAATATAAAAAATTACGCGTGAAAATATGCGATTGGCGTACTAAATATGCGAAATTGAAAAGTAAATCTTTTTGAAAAGTTAGAAAGTGATGAGGGTATGGCATGAGGTCTAAAAGCTGATTCTTCATTAAGTATACTTGATAATGATCTTTTTCTCGTTATTTTTGTGAACGTTTTCGAAATAAAGTTAATTGTTAATAATATATCAATAATATCAATATAATTCGTTTAAAATACTTAAATTAGAATAAATTTTATTAAAATCATCAACTGCGTCGATGTAATACTAAATTTATTAAAATCATCAATCTACACTTAAATAGGACCCTGGATATCTAATATAAAGGTCATAATGGACTTTTGGCCAAAAACACCTCTTTTTGCTAAAACTCAAAAAATCGTTTTTTGTAAATATATCAGCATCCAGTAATTCAATTTTAATGAACTCTTTTTTATTTTGTAGCCCTCATTTAGCTCTACAATTTAAAAAAAAGTTCATCAAAATTGGACTACTGGATGCCGAGATATTTACAAAAAATGATTTTTTGAGCCCCTGAAAAATGGGCCAATCTGCCGAAAGTGTGACTTATGACCTGTTTTGGAGATATCCGGGGTCCTACTTAAATTATAAATATAAATCATTCGATTAATAATATTAATGATAAAATAGACTATTCAATCGATCAGTATGATGACGAAAGTTTCTTAAAGTTTGATTTTTAAAACAACTTCATTTTTCTCACCAACCTTTTTCTTTTTAGAGTTTAATTGTCGATATAATACTTAAATTATATTAAATTTATTAAAATCATCAACTATCACTTAAATTATAAATATTACATGATGTCAATTTGCGTTCAAATCGTTCGATTAATAATATTAATAATAAAATAGACTATTCGATTGATCAGTATAATGGCGAAAGTTTAATTTTTTAAATAAAACTTTCATTTTTTCTTACCAACCTTTTCTTTTAGAGTTTTAACGTCTAATACTCTTCGCAACCAAAAAAAATAAAAAAATAATGAGCCAAAATTCGCAACCAAAAAAAATAATGAGCCAAAATAGAAAAAATAAAAATACTGAAAAAGGTTTGGCTAGTGATGATCGAAATAAAACGATTACTAACATCAATAAAAGTTCATCTAATATCCAACAAGCTGTTGAAGGAACTGCCACGCCAATTCATAAGTGAGCTCAAACTACTAACATCAATAAAAATTCGTCCAATACTCAACAACCATCTGCTGCGCCAAGTCATGAACGAGTCCAAAGTGTAAAAGAGAGATATATAAATCTTCGGCTTCCGGATTCATCCAATACTCAACAACCATCTGCTGCGCCAAATCATAAACGAGTTCAAAGTATAAAAGAGAGATATAAAAATCTTCGGTTTCCGGTCAGATATCAAACTAATAAACATACTCGCGATTATGATGATGCATCAACAGGTCTGTATCGTGTATATATCGTCAGTTAGATTTAGTATTTTTTTTTGTTGATTTTACATTTTTATACAGAGAATCGGAGGTTATCTCAAGAAGTATCCAATTTGCGTGTAAAGTGTTTACAGTTAGAACGATGAAATAATGAATTAACCAAACATACAGCTGTCGTTGCCACTGAAATAGCTCGCTTACGAGAAGATAACGAATTTTTTGCTGGTGTTAATGCAGAATTTGGTTCTGAAAATAATGACTTGAAAGAAAAGGTTAACGAATTAAAAACGAAACTCGAATAATACTAGATACGATCATCATCTGAAAGCCTTGATGTTACACTGGTCGAAATCATTTCTTTCAGCATTAATACCTTTCGTCAAAAGTTCGTCATCGTTATCATGTGATTCGTCACACATTCGGCTAATTACAAAATTCAGAAAAATTTCAGCATAAATCAACTGGTCGATTTTTGGTCAATTTTTGGTTGAGCTGTAACATAAAAAAAAAACCATAAATCGACCAATACTTCTTTTTTATCAATTTTTATTAATAACAACGATCGACTTAAAACTTTTTTGACGATTTTTAACCTATTTTTTAATTAATTTTAATTAATATCAATAAATAATAATGACATATAAGTAAAATAAGAAAACACTGAAGTTAAAGATTCGTCAAATTTTATTGTAAATCAATTTATTCGTATTATTTATTATTAAATAACCAATTCCATAAAATTCGTTAAACAATTATTGTAAAGAAAAATTCTGTAGCTTTTAGTAAATTACCGAATGTGAAACTTGCGATTTAATGGATTTATCGCTAAATATTCAGTTGCATTGCGGTTAGAAGAAATTTTATATTTAGCAGGCACAAATCAGAAAAGAATGTTGTGTACTGGAATAACACAATCCCTACTTTCAGGAAAAAAATCTGTTTTCCATAATTCAACATTGCATGTTTCCGTTTCTTCGGTATCATCAATACTAAAATGATACCGAATATTTGCTGTGTCTGCTGGTCGGTACCACCTAATAAAAGCAAATAATGCTCAGTAGGTCCATTTGGCAAGTCAATTTCATGCTTGAAATAATACTGGACTTGTCCAGGATAACAATTGACTTTTCCATCAGTTGTTATGAATTTAGCTAATACATATGAACTTTTTATGTGTCGAAATGACAATGCGGAGCTAAACACCTCAGATCCAATACGACATCTTCCAAATTTATCCATTTTTACACGAATAGTTATCGCATCTTGCTCTATAGCATCAAATGGTTTTCAGAAATTATATATTTTATATGTAGCAATATAATAATTGATCATTAAATCGAGCATCGATTGTGATAATACTACATTTTCGGAAGTAAGTCTTAACATTTCACCAGAAAACGCTTCGCATCTAGTAACAGTAGATTTCTGGATATTTTTTGAATTTAGCCAAAACCTTTCCATTTCATCTGAAGCGAATTGGTCATTTTCTGATAGTGATCCAACGGTAGGATGATTTTCGAGTAATTCAAGACCTTTCATCTGAGTGCTAGAAGTAATGATATTTCTGATTCAGTTATCATTCATTAATCGACGCATTAGTTCTGGTTCAATTTTTCTGTTACTGTTCGGTAATGATCCTAAGGGTTGTATTTAAAAGAAAATATAAACCAATAATAATAATAATAATAATAATAAAGGCCAGTGTATCTTACTGAGTATTCCATTTATGCGTTCAAATGAAAAACACCAGAACGCATACAATGGGCCGAAATCATGACAACATTCAGACAAATGAAGCGAGAGATGTAGATTCGGCATAATTTTATTCCTGTCGTATTGTACCTCAATGAGCTTTATTATTTTAACAAGTCGTTTATGGGCTTCCTGCAACATGTCAGATTGTATAATCTGACTTACCAATATCGAACAAATTCTGACAAAATGAGTCAGAATTTTTCTATCTTCAGCTGAGAGATGTTCCTAAAGCGATACTGTGGCATAAATTGTGAAAAAATTTCGCCACTGGTCAGCTGTGAAGTTAGAAAAGCCTTCCCTGCAGTCGATTTTGCCAGGAATTCGACCCAAATTGACCGGAACTTGAAATCGATTCATTTGTTTTTGAACTTCATTGAGCATACTTGAAGTTAAGATTCCCTGATCAACCCAAATTCGCTTCACAATCCATTTTGCAATGCCTAAAAATAGACAATGCATTGGATCAATGATAGTGAAACGAATTGGGTCAAAATAAGGCAAGCGAAGTAATTCTGACCATCTTACTCCAGTCTGTTTAACGAATCTCTTTCTTAATACGTCCGAATTAAACCATCGCCAGCCAAGTGCGTTTTGGAGATGTTCGTTTGAATCCCTGGCAACAAACCAATCCTCCATATCTCCCATTCCAGCAAAATTATACTGATGATTTTCATAATTTGCCTTTTTCTGGCATCGGTGGCAAGAAACCAATGCAGAAACGTGCCTACAAATTTTTCTTGCAGCGGGTATATCGCACGATACTATTATCAACGCTGCACGAATTTTTTTTCCTAACTGATGCTCGTATGTTCGATTTAGAATAATCCCTTCCCAGAGTGATGTCAGCTCATTAACGATTGGTGCAAGGTGATGATTAATTTTATGTAGACTCACTTCGTTTGGACCTGGTAACATTCTAAGGAGCAGCAAGTTTTCTCGCTTAAATCGTATGTTATGCGGCAAATTACAGATAACTGCATAAATGGCTCCGGTACTATGATTAGTTCCATTGAATGGCTGAAACCAGTCAACATTCAACATGAGGCCAAGATGCGAGTCGGCAACCTCATTTCAGAAAAAATTTAACGAATCATCGTTGTTTGTATCTTTGAATTCTTTCCATATTCGTTCATCATAAATATCGGATAAAATATTATCTAAATTTGATCGATTTGCCCAATGTCGGAGGGATTTCTCAAATTCAGGTCAACAAAACATATCAGAAAGTTGTTGTCGAAATCCAGCAAATGGGTATATTGATTCGGCTTGAACTCTTGAAACATCGATTTGTCATGATAAAGGTGTGTCGCAAGTGCGTGTACCTCGGCGAGATGAGTTTGGGAACTCGATATGGTGGCATTTTATAACCGATAAACTCTCGTTTTGATGAAAGTTTTCTACATCCTGTTTATTATAAAGTTTGTGGCATTTTGTACATGGAACAAATCTCTGAAATCAGTCTTTTAGGTCAAGTACTTTTTTCGCTAGGTAAAGAGAATCTGGAAAAGTTCTAAAATTTTCACCACCGATTTCGTTTAGAACTATTTTCATGAACTTTATTAAAGATTCGGTTGCCGTTTCTGGGATATTGTATGTTATACGGTAGTTCATTATCCACAATAAAATCCATGAAAAATTATCATCAATCGGATTTTCTTCAGCATCCATATTGGCTTGATACGGAGGAGGTGAATAATCTTCAAAAATTTCGTTGTAAGATTCATTATTTGATTCGCTACCCAAAGACATTTCAGTGTTTTGTTCACTAGTATTATATACGTCCGATTCGATATTCAAACTTGTTGATTGAGGCATAGGATGGCTTGTATATCTTACGCGCCTCCAAGGTAAAAAAGAACAATTAACATCTATGTTCCCGGGTATTTGTAACCTTTGACTTTCGGTGTATCCCCCAAAATCTGACCCTGATGTCGAAGTCTGATGAACGTCAATATTTACTTGGGTAATTCAATATTTTTGGTAATGTCTTGTTCACTAGTTTCTTGAATTATCGAAAGAGCTTCATCCTCACTTGATTCGTCTTCATTCGAATCATTTGTTTCACCTCCTGTCTCGTGTAGAAGCTTTGTTCGTTCCAATACCAATTTCCATTACAATTATTGCAATAACAAGGAACTTTCTTCCTTTTGCGAGGTTTTTGAAATGAACGTCTACGTTCATTTTTTTTTGATTGCCAAGAATGCTTGAAACCGATCTCCTTCTTGTCATTTTCAATTGACGAGTTTTGAAGTTAATCGCTTCAATAAATTAAATAATCGTCTAAAACTTTACTACAATTTGTAAAAATTTAACGTCAATTCGATTAATTAATTAACTTAACTGCGGTCGTACTAAATCGAATATTTTGATATCAATTCGATAAATTAAATCGGCTAAAATTTGCAAAAGTATATTGTACTTGATAAATCATTTTTGTTGAAAAATTAAAATCGATGATAATTTCAGTTCAGAAGACACGATAAATAAACTTTTATTTATCAAATCAGCTTGTGAAAGTTTGTCAAAAGCTTAATAATAAACTTATAAATTCTATGAAAACTCGTCTGATCATTAACTCGTACGTTCTCTTTCTCTTTTCTTCTCATCTCATTTAAATTTAAGATAATTTTATTTCATTTTCATAATAACTGGTAATTTGTAACTTTCGACCATATGATATATAATTACTTTTGATTTGCAATTTCCTATTTTAACTGTAAGAAAATTTATTGATATATAGAAATGAGCCAAAACAAGAAAAAATTGTCAAATAAAAGAAAACTTCACAAAGCATCTAAGAAAGTGAACTGGGACTGAACTTCAACTACTCCTAATACCAGATAAACTTCAACTACTCCTAATACCAGACAAATTTCAATTACTTTTAGTACCGGACAAACTTCAACTACTCCTAATACCAGACAAACTTCAACTACTCCTAATACCGGACAAACTTCTACCCCCAAAAAAGTCGATATATTGATTGTTTTACGTTATTCCGTTCCGTTATTCAAAGGTGTATCATTTATACTTACTATATAAAAAAAATTAATTAATACAGAAACAAATCAATACGTAAAATCCGCAGCAAAAAATAAACCATCCAATAAAGAAATCGTCGAAGTGGATCGTGGACAAACTTCAACTACTCCTAATATCGAACAAACTTCTACCCCCAAAAAAAGTTGATATATTGATTGTTTTGCGTTATTCCATTCCGTTATTCAAAGGTGTACTTATTATATCAAAAAAATTTATTAATACAGAAACGAATCAATACGAAAAATCTGCAGCGAGTAAAGACAAACTGTTTGATGAAGTAGAAATCGTCGAAGTGGCTCGTAGACAAACGTCAACTACTCCTGCTACCGGCCAAGTTTACCAAAAAAAATATCGAGATCCGTTTGTCCTTGATATAAGTCAAGTTCTAATGGAATCTCATCAAAAGTCAAAAACAAGTCGAGATCTAGAAGAATCCCATACTGATAAAGAAATGGCCAGTGCGCATTTTCCGAAAAGTTCTTTTGAACATACCAGAACTATTAAACCACGAGAATTGTCTTTATCTCGAATGCCGCACAGGA